ATCTCTGGCCCTTATACCTCAGATGACAACAACTCTTTGACCCCTTTTCCTGTTTTGCATTTACGTTTTGAATGGGTTGCCCGCAGTACTGTCGTATGATTTTCTTCCCATTTGACTGCGATGTACTCTTGTGCTTTTTTGATTTCTGCTGGGTCTTTTCTTCTGTAAATGCGTTCTATGCTACCGAAATTCTGTTCGGTTTTTGTTGTGCTGAAACAGGGCGATTCACCGTTGATTCTATTCAAGTAATAAGTAGTAAAATATTCATTCGGTCGTTCATTCATGCACTCGCCCGCTAGCTCAACAGCGCGTTCATTCTTTCATGCGTTAGTCTACGATAAACATCTGTTACCTGTATAGACTTTAAACATTCAGCATACTGTAACAAACTTAAAAAATATACCATTAAAACTGACAAAACCGATGGAGCCATAAATGGCTAGCTATAAGTGTTACTTAAAGAATATTTTGCCGGTTTTGTTTACCCCAGAGTTTAGGCCAAGCAATTGTTCAATCATTGCGGCATCGAAAGATTGTTTGCGCCTATTAGGACTGCAGTTCGTTTTGACCCACCTGATAGCCGGTCGAAAATCAGCTCAAGGTGTAAATGTAAATTCTAAGAAAATTTAATTAAGCTTATTACTTCCTTTATACATTCAGATGACCTAGTATCCATCCATTCCTAAGAAAGTTCTGTCACACGGTTCGAGATCCTTTTCTAGGAGTTTGTAGGAGTCATTCGCCTATGATTAGTCATACTGAGATGCAGAGATAGTGATTGTATGACCGTGAACATCTGACTAAATGAACATCTTTCCTACGTCAAGATAGCCGTCTTATGTTGTTATTAAGCATCAGCGATTTTGTTGTCTAGGATTTGAAGACAAACAGCTCAGCCCATGATTATGGTTGGTAGATTTTCGAGGTTGGAGAATGGCTCTGCAGTTCATTTTTATTTCCTTTAACACATACGCTCAATTTTAGCCAACAGCTACTTGCATTTTTCATTGTTGACCATTGTATGGGGCATAATAGACAAGTTTCACGCTGGTCACTTAAGAAGACCCAAGTTCGAGAAGCCAGCGGGTGCACGGCATGACTAAAGGTGTGAGAGATGATCGGCAAGAGTTTCGTAACTCACAATGGCAATTGACCAGTGGTCATCACCGCTCAAACGATGCTCACGTTTCATCACGCAAACACAGAACAGATGCTGAGCGATTAACGACATGGTGGGCATTGACGTAAGCTTATGATTGCGACTGCGGCATTGACCACATCTTTAGCGACGGCAGTGATTCACGAAGCTTACCTTAGAAATGGAACCTATTGCCCTCTCCGTCAGCCAAGTGTTACTGAACGCTTCCATCTGCGAAAGGGGGGGGGAGGTGCGGACAGACGGATTCCTTAAAGGTAATAGTGCTGGAAGTTGAGGCACGCGTCGGTCACAACGCCAACCTCACAGCAACCCGGAGACAGTTCATTGTTTAAATGGTGGAGAGGCAAGCATGTAACCGCCTCTTTGTGATTGCCGTCCGAGTGATCTCCTCCTCGACCTAAGGACGTTACCGTTCTGGGGCTACGTGACATTCGTCGAAAGGTAACTTTTATGGAAATGAGCAATAAATCATTTTGGGCATCATTTGGCATATTAATGACGACGCAAAACGATACCCCTCGATGAGGTGACAAGGGTCGACGCTGGCCGGGCATTTCTTTCACTGGTCTACAATGGACCGCCGAAAAGACAGTAGTCAGTCGTTGCTCAGTGTTAAAGCAATTCGTCAAGTGAACAATCGTTCACCGCAGGTACGTGGCACTCTCGAATTGCCGGTCACGACCGCGAAAGCCCCCTAGCCGGTGAGGTTCACGAGTTTCTAACCGTCTGTGGCAATTTGAGACTACTGGCCGAATTTGGTCAGCACTGTCCGAGGTGACGGACATAAATTTCTGTCCCTTAAAGACAATGGCCTTCGTCGGTCGGCGGCATTCGCCGCCAGTGACCAAATTAACAAATAATAGCCGTGAATTAGCCTTATTGCC